GTTAGAAACTTAGTTGCACTATGAAATAATCTAAAATGACTACTGCACCAGAATGCAAATTTATGCCATAATTAATTCTGCTTAAGTGCACACAACTCCTCGTTTGAGGTTGAGGTGATCATGATTCTTCAGTGATGAGTTATTGTCTAGTAACTCGACAGTTGCGAGACACTGCGACCCTAGACACTGACCTCACTGTAGATTTGAATTCTCCTTGATCTTGAATGACATAATGATTAATACTTTAAATTCTTTATCTGATGTATAACAGTGTAAAATTAAAATTTAAACTGTATTTTCATTCTGCATAAATGCAAATGATAATCATTTGATCTTAGATGACATTATGATTCATATTTTCAACATTTAATTTATGTTCCCATGATGATAGTTTAATGACTTAGTTCATACCTGTTATCTTGAGATGGTTATCTTGAGATGATTTCGGGGCTTAGCGTCCCCGCGGCCCGGTCCTCGACCAGGCCTCCTTTTTATTACACATCCCCAGGAAGCAGCCCGTAGCAGCTGTCTAACTCCCAGGTACCTATTTACTGCTAGGTAACAGGGGCATCAGGGTGAAAGAAACATTTTGCCCCTTTGTCTCCGCCTTCACCGGGGATCGAACTTAGAACCTCAGGACTACGAATCCAAAGCGCTGTCCACCCAGCTGGCAGGCGTTTCACAGATATGGGACATCCGTCATTTATATAACAACATGCAATGAATTTATAACTTCAGGGGAGAGTAACGGGTCCGTTAGTACTGATTCATGAACTACGACCCGTGTTTTCTCACCCTGGAGTTATGTGGGAAATTTCCCACACAATTTCCCAAACTCCAACCCCTAGTGCTAAAAGAGGTATTTCTTGTACTAGGAATATAATTTACTAATACTACTAACCAGTAGTGTAGCAACATTAATTCTTATTATTCTGAAACGTAGTTATGCCAAATGTTTCCTAGTATCCATGGCGCATATTGCATCAGCCGATCATCTCGTGAGAATAATTTCCACATATTTATGTACTGAACTAAATCCAGTTTAACATTGCCATATTTATTAAGGAATCTATTACTACTATCGAGTAGTAATAGATTCATCCTTAGTTAATGAATTATCTAATTGTTTATTGGAAATATTTTATACAGTTACGATCAGCTGTTCCAGTAAACAAAACCATGAACTGAATATAAATCATCTAAATTAAATGATTTACACAACGAGAAATAATTTGCTGTCATATACAGCACGTTATTATGACGTATTTTGATGTCAACAACGTCTCCTTGCATTCGGAACGTTGAATAAAATATTACAATTTAATACCGGAAGTTCCAACTTTCGACATTAGGTGTCGCACGCACCACCAGTCTAGCGGGAGACTTGGCAGAGACAGCCGCCATTAGCATCAGGTGTTCTGGAGCTGGTCATTATCATCGATCAAATATAGGAGCATCAGTCTATCACCGAGCTTCAGATCGATTTCACTGCTGCCATAGTTTACGGACGGCAGGACAGAGTATCACAGATTTATTCAATGTGGCCAATTTTATATAATCGTATTGGTGTTGTGTCGTTACGCTGTTTAACTTCCCCATAACTCACATGAGTGTCTTTCCTACTCCCAAATCTATTTAGGGGTCCGTGATTAAATGTATGAGTATATGGTTTGGAGTGGAAATTATATATGATTCGCATTTCAGCGTGGAGTTAACTTCACGAGAGATGTAATTCCACCAGTGCAGTCACGTGTCACTAGGGATAGCTGACTCAGACAGGATCAAACGGGTTATAGTTGATGGACGTAATCTACATTCATCTTTGGCAACTAAGCCGTTTCAATTCCTATATTGTAGTTAGCAAATTAACCCCATATATATTGATTTTCAATGATTTATGAATATGTTATGATAATATTATAGATATACTAACATTATAGAATTTAACCCTCCAAAGGATGTGTTAGGGATTAACTCTAAATTTAATAGAAGTTTTACAGTCCACTTCTCTAAATTCACTGAAATCTATTATTGAATTAATTATTTGAGATCTATAGATCACTGGTTCACTGAGTCCATACAACTTTTATGGTTCTCATAAATTTCTATATATTATTATATGTTAGAATGAATTCCCCCCATACCATTAACATTGCACCATCTTTCACGTTACGCCATGAATATTGCACCATTTCTCACATTATCCCATGAATATTGTACCATCTTTCACATTACACCATGAATATTGCACCATTTCTCACAATACACCTTGAACATTGCACTATCTCTCACATTACACCATGAACATTGCACCATCTTTCACATTACACCTTGAACATTGCACTATCTCTCACAATATACCATGAACATTGCACAGTCACATTACACCTTGAACATTGCAAAATCTCTCACAATACACCATGAACATTACACCGTCTCCCACATAACATTGTGAACATTCTTCCTGAACATTGCACCATTATTACATTACTCCACCATTACAACATCAACATTTGAGCATCTCCTACATTACTCTATTTCCAACGAAAGGTACATACAATTTTACATCCAGAAACAAATTCACGGCAAGGCAGGCCATCCCGGAGTGGCTGTCAAGCAGCAAGGATGCCTGTGAACGTGGTCTCGACAGCCATACTGCCACCTCTTATGAAGTTGCTCATGGAAAGATTTAAAGATGCAATTGATTTCTTAAAAAACATTGGAAATTTCAGAAATGTTATTCCAATATGGAAAGGTCCTCTTCTTTCTCGATGTTTCAGCCATTTACCGAAACATCCCTCAACGACAAGCTGCGTGTCGAGTTGAGCAATTCCTCTCCATACACAAGGGTGAAACCTGGGAGGACTTGAGAGAGGCTGGAATTAGAAGCAACCTGTCCTCTTACAAATTACGATAAAAAAAGGCCGTAATTTACAAATTATTTTGTCCAAAACAGTAATTTAAGAGTCCCCTGGTAGGTTAGGAGGGGTAGAAAGATCATCTAAAGTTTTAAAACGCCATGAATACCGTTAATTGAAAGTTTTCTCTCCTATCTTAACATCCTAAGCCAGAGGACTCAAAACAGAAAACGGGACAGGAAGTCACTTTCGCAGGCCGATTCCATTTTCAATTTAAACCTTTTTTTTATCTTAGTGCGCATACGAGCGAAAAGCGACGTAAATTGTTAGAGGACGAGTTGTTAGAAGAGCACCAAGTATGGAGTTGGTTCAACTCCTTACCGACAGATGTAAGACATTGCGGTTGGGACTAACGTGTCAGTCGTAGCAGCGGAAGTGTTTATGTTTATTGCATTCGCAGACCCCCGGAAAGTTACTCCTCAACACCTATGATGTACCATTCGCAGACCCCCGGAAAGTTACTCCCCAACATCTATGATGTACCATTCGCAGACCCCCGGAAAGTTACTCCCCAACACCTATGATGTACCATTCGCAGACCCCCGGAAAGTTACTCCCCAACACCTATGATGTACCATTCGCAGACCCCCGGAAAGTTACTCCCCAACACTTATGATCTACCATTCGCAGACTCCCGGAAAGTTACTCCCCAACACCCATGATCTACCATTCGCAGACCCCCGGAAAGTTACTCCCCAACAGCCATGATCTACCATAGATATATTGATGATATCCTCGGAGTCATAGAGAGGGATTTGAAGAACTCCAAGCGTTTCTTTCCTGGAAAACACGGTCAATCCGGACCTTAAATTTACACATGAAGCCATGAGGAAATACCTTCTTTCATAGATACATGTGCTTGTTTTGACAGAGAGACGGCTTCATACCAAGGTATATTGCAAGGAGTCAAATTTACACTCTTGCTATATTCAACATGCCATCCGCACTCCCACAAAAGATCATTACCTTACTCCTTGTATATATGTATGAAGATGATTTCAAGCGAAGAAGAAAATTTGAAACCAGTCCAAAATTGGTCTGGAAACTAGCCGTCAGGGGACTGACAGCGCTCGGAATTCGTAGTTGTAATATTCTGGGTTCGATCCCCGGTGGAGGTGGAAACAAATGGGCAGAATTTCTTTCACCCTGATTCCTCTGTTCACCTATCAGTAAATAGGCACCTGGGAGTTAGACAGCTGCTACGGGCTACTTCCTGGAAATGAGTAACAAAATGAAGGCCTGGTTGAGGACCGGGCCGTGGAGACGCTAGGCCCCGGAATCATCTCAAGATAACTTCAAGGCCCCGCATTTCATATTCTGGGATTGTAAAACGTTTCAAAGCTCTGAGATTTATTTTGTGAGACAGGGTACCCACAGTCAATATTGAGAGAGGCCATGGCGAAATTAGCACCACTTCAAAGGAATTCCCTTCTACAGGAAAGGCAGAAACTTGTGCGGCCCTCCAAGAGTGATTCTACCAACTTTATATATTCCAACAACATCAAACAGGATAAGAAGAGAACTCTACAACCTGTGGGATTAGATAAATACAACTTTCAAGGGACATCCAGCATGGAGGTCTTTCCCAGCAGTCCCACCGCGAATAGCGTGGAGAAAGGGAACTTCCTTGGGAATACCCTTGTGAGGGCACATTTCTAAGTGAAGCCTAAAGCTTCTGCGAATAGGATGAGTTGAGCTTATAGGAGAGTGTCTGGGTTTATCGTGGCTAGAGACGTTCTGATGCATAATAATGATAGCTTAGTGTAGTGGTTATGTATACCTGTCAACGTTGGTGAGCTTTTAACCCTTGACGGTGGCAAAAACGTAGTTACAGCCAATAATTACAGCTAGGTCTTTTTTGGTGGAGATGGTGAAGCCGACGTTTATGTAAGCCGTGGAAAAAAAATCCGTTATTAACAGCTGTGGGATAACCTAATCTTGTGTTATACATATGGATATATTTTTGTTGTCAAATTCTTTAGGAATCAAATGCCTATTATGTTGTTGATAATCAGTGCCAAGTTATTCCTCATAATGATATTTTGGCTTCCTCTTGCAGACTGTTCGCTGCCTTATGTCACAATGAACGCAGGGGGACAGTTAGGCAACAAACTCTGTCAGTACCTGTCCCTAGTCTTGATAAGAAGGGTATTTGGCGTCCGGGTGAGTTACACTATTCTTTGTACCAGCACTGAATCTTAGTATTTATGTTTGATGAAAGGATCCAGCGAAAGCTTAATAAATTGTATTAGATCAAAAACTATCTAGACACAATTCAGAAGCAGGATAAGAAAAACGCTTTAAAATTATTTGATATGAAATGATTTCGTATGAGTGTGATATGGTCCATGATAGGAAGGAACTTCATTAAATGAACACGACTCTAATAACTGGATTTCCAAAACATTATTAATTTTCTACGGACATAAAAAAACAAGTACTGCGAGAAAGTGAAATTGACACCAAATTATATCGTTCGTGCATCGGTGAACAATAATTTGTATAAATTATCAAAGTATTTTAATCAATGATGCTCGTTGTCTCTGTATTTCCCTCATGTAGGAATCAGTTGATTTATTAATATTTTTTGTTATCCTTTATAACAATTGACAAGCAAAAAAAGAAAAAGACAGGCAAAGTGGGCAAGGAGTAGAAGGAGTCTCCGGAGCGTTTGTACGCAGCCGGACGAGTGTCGCAGACCCCTGGCGGACCCTCAGCACACCCACTTACCGTCATCCTCAAGTCCACCTCGAGCCTCGTGCCGAGTATTTGTCATTCCTTCCACGTCACTTTATCTCCCTTTATCCAATCACCTTCCCCACAGCCCCGTCTTCTTATTAACCTTTTTTCTCTATTTCACCTTCTAACCCCCTTCACATTGCTTTCAGCACTTTCACTTTCCTCTATGCGCCATCACCTTCACTAAGTACCTTCACCTTCCCCCCTTCATTGTTCCAAAAGTTATATATATATATATATATATATATATATATATATATATATATATATATATATATATATATATATATATATATATATATATATATATATAAATATGACCGAAAAAGTAAGATTAATAATTCTAACACGAATTTTCTCAATCTTTCGTACATTTCTTTTCACTGTTGGAGGTAATTCAAAAATCAATTCTCCAAAATTCATTTTTATTTCTAGTCTGACGCGACACGAGCGCGTTTCGTAAAACTTATTACAATTTCAAAGACTTTAGTTTACAAATACACAACTGAATAGAACTTACACATCTTCGATTTTGTTTATATCTACATTTGAGTGAGGTGGATGGGGTGAGGTGGCATTAATAAGGTATTAATTTCATCAACACAAGACAGAACAAGAGGTGGCATTAATAGGGTATTAATTTCATCAACACAAGACAGAACACGAAACAATGGGTATTGAAATGGAAGTGATTGTAGAAAGCCTATTGGTCCATATTTCTTGATGCTTCTATATTGGAGCGGAGTCCTGAGGTGGGTAGAATATAGTTGTGCATTAATTGGCTGTTGATTGCTGGTGTTGACTTCTTAATGTGTAGTGCCTCGCAAACGTCAAGCCGCCTGCTGTCGCTGTATCTATCGATGATTTCTGTGTTGTTTACTAGGATTTCTCTGGCGATGGTTTGGTTGTGGGAAGAGATTATATGTTCCTTAATGGAGCCCTGTTGTTTATGCATCGTTAAACGCCTAGAAAGAGATGTTGTTGTCTTGCCTATATACTGTTTTTTTTGGAGCTTACAGTCCCCAAGAGGGCATTTGAAGGCATAGACGACGTTAGTCTCTTTTAAAGCGTTCTGTTTTGTGTCTGGAGAGTTTCTTATGAGTAGGCTGGCCGTGTTTCTGGTTAACCAGAAAAACGGCCAGCCTACTCATGAGAAACTCTCCAGACACACACATATATATATATATATATATATATATATATATATATATATATATATATATATATGAATATGACTGAAAAAGTAAGATTAATAATTCTAACACGAATTTTCTCAATATTATTTATGTTTCTTTTCACTGTCGATGGTAATTGAAAAATCAATTCTCCAAAATTCATTTTTATTTCTAGTCTGATGCGACACTTGAACACGTTTCGTAATAACTTATTACATTTTCAAAGACTTTAGTTTACATACACACAACTATAACCTGCAAACACTAAACAGAGTCCTACTATGCTATAATTTAAATGGCTTTCATTTTCTATACCTGCATTTGGGTGAGGTGATATGTTACAACAGTTTTGGATGAGGTGAAAACACAAGACAGAACACGAAACAATGGGTATAATATTGGGTAAGTTTAAAGGGAAGAATGGAAGTAACTGCAAAGGGCCTATTGGCCCATATTTCTTGATGCTTCTATATTGGTGCGGAGTCTTGAAGTAGGTAGAATATAGTTGTGCATTAATTGGCTGTTGATTGCTGGTGTTGACTTCTTGATGTGTAGTGCCTCGCAGATATCAAGCCGCCTGCTATCGCTGTATCTATCGATGATTTCTGTGTTTTTTTTTTTGTTAAGACTTCACTGGTGATGATCTGGTTGTGGAAAGAGATTATATGTTCCTTAATGAAGCCCTGTTGCTTATGCATCGTTAATCGCCTGGAAAGAGATGTTGTTGTCTTGCCTAAATACTGAGTTCTTTGAGGCTTACAGTCTCCAAGTGGGCATTTGAAGGCATAGACGACATTGGTCTCTTTTAAAGCGTTCTGCTTTGTGTCTAGAGAGTTTCTCATGAGTAGGCTGGCCGTTTTTTTGGTTTTATAGTAAATCGTCAATTGTATCTTCTGATTTTTGTCTGTAGGGATAACGTTTCTATTAACAATATCTTTCAGAACCCTTTCCTCCATTTTATGAGCTGTGGAAAAGAAGTTCCTGTAAAATAGTCTAATAGGGGGTACAGGTGATGTGTTAGTTGTCTCTTCAGAGGTTGCATGGCGTTTCACCTTCCTTCTTATGATGTCTTCAACGAAACCATTGGAGAAGCCGTTGTTGACTAGGACTTGCCTTACCCTACAGAGTTCTTCATCGACTTGCTTCCATCCTGAGCTGTGGCTGAGAGCACGGTCGTCATAAGCGTTGACTAACACCCAGGTACCTATTTTACTGCTAGGTAACAGGGGCATAGGGTGAAAGAAACTCTGCCCATTGTTTCTCGCCGGCGCCTGGGATCGAACCCAGGACCACAGGATCACAAGTCCCGCGTGCTGTCCGCTCGGCCGACCGGCTCTAAGTACACCCTGAGGTGCATTGCAGTGACACTGAGGTACGTTGAACTCAACCCTGAGATACATTGCAGTGCACCATGAGGTACATTGCAGTGCACCCTGAGATACATTGTAGTGCACCCTGAAGTACATTGCAGTGCACCCTAAAATACATTGAACTGCATCATTAGGTACATAGCAGTGCATTCTGAGGTACATTGCAGAGCAACCAGAGGTACATTGCAGAGAACACTGAGATACAATGCAGAGCACCTTGATATACATTGCACAGTATCCAGAGGGACATTGTAGTGCACCCTGAGATACATTGATGTGCACCCTTAGATACATTGCAGTGCACCCTAGGATACATTGCAATGCACCCTGAGGTACATTGCAGTCAACCCTGAGGTACATTGCAGTGCACCCTGAGGTACATTGCAGTGCATCTAGAGGTACATTGCAGTGCACCCTGAGGTACATTGCAGTTCACTGAGAGGTACACTACAGTACACCCTGAGGTATATTGCAGTGCTCCATGAGATACATTGCAATGCACCCAGAACTAGATTGCAGTGCAACCTGAGGTACATTGCAGTACACCCTGAGGTATATTGCAGTGCTCCCTGAGATACATTGCAGTGCACCATGAGGTACATTACAGTGCACCCTGAAGTATATTGCAGGGCACCCTTAAATACATTGCAGTGTACCCGGAGCTACATTGCAGAGCACCCTGAGATACATTGAAGAGCATCTTGAGATACATTGCAGTGCATCCTGAGGTACATTGCAGTTCACAATAAGGTACATTGCAGTGCATCCTGAGATACATTGCAGTGCACCTTAAGACAAATTGCAGTGCACCCTGAGGTACATTGCATTGCACCCTGAGGTACATAGCAGTGCACCCTGAGGTTCATTGCAGTGCACCCTGAGATAAATTGCGATGCTCTCTGAGGTACATTACAGTGCACCCTTAGGTACATTGCAGTGCACCCTTAGGTACATTGCAGAGCACCCTGAGATATATTGCAGTGCACTATGAGATACATTGCAATGCACCCTGAGGTACAATGCAGTGCACCCTATGATACAATGCAGTGTACCCTGAGAGAACTTACAGTGAACCCTATGATACATTGCAGTGCACCATGAGATACATTGCATTGCACTCTGAGGTACATTGCAGTGCACCCTGAGGTACATTGCAGTGTACCTAGAGGTACATTGCAGTGCACCCTGAGGTACATTGCAGTACACCCTGAGGTACATTGCAGTGCTCCCTGAGATACAGTGCAGTGCACCCTGAGGTACTCTGTAGTGCATCCTGAGGTACATTGCAGTACATCCCTGAGGTGCATTGCAGTGCTACTTGAGATACATTGCAGTGCACCCTGAGGTACATTGCAGTGCACCCTGAGGTACATTGCAGTGCACCCGGAGCTACTTAGCATAGCACCCTGAGATACATTGAAGAGACTCTTGAGATATATTACAGTGCACCCTGAGGTACATTGCAGCGCACTCTGAAATACATTAAAGAGCACCATGAGGTACACTGCACGGCACCCTAAAGTACATTGCAGAGCACACTGATAAACATTGAAGTGAACCGAGATACATTGCAGTGCACCCTGAGGTATTTTGCAGTGCACCCTGAGGTACTTTGCAGTGCACCATGAGACACATTGCAGGGCTCCTTGAGATACATTGCAGTGTAACCTGAGGTACATTGCAGTGCACCATGAGATACATTGGAGTGTACCCTGAGATACATTGCAGTGCACCATGAGATACATTGGAGTGTACCCTGAGATACATTGCAGTGCACCATGAGATACATTGGAGTGTACCCTGAGATACATTGCAGTGCACCCTGAGGTACATTGCAGTGCACCCTGGGATACATTGCAGTGAACCATAAGAAACATTG